TGCCTAGTACACACAAAGCCCGAGGTATAATCCTCAGTGCTCCAAAAGGGGGGGGGGGGACAACAATAAAATGGGTCTATGAATATACAGGAACTTACTATGTTCCACCAGCATATACTGTAAAATAGGGAGTGAAAAACATTAAAAATAAGAGTAAAAAAACACAGAAACATTACTACACCAACATAATTACTCATCATGTAAAATCCTAGAGGTTAAAGCAATACACAAATGTCAAATCAATATAAGTTATTCCAGAAAAGTTAACAGGAAAATAAATGATTCATTACCTCACTTTATGAAGAAACATGTTGTAATTGGATAAATGCCAAGGAATCCATCAAGTGTGTTTTATTAAAGGGCCCTTTTTGGACCAACGGCAAAGTGTGACTCAAGAATGCCATTTTAATCATTACAAATCGAAACTCTGGTAAGTCCTATTTTTTATTACATTGTCCTTTAGTGGTCACACTAATACCAGTACATATTTCTCTACAGACAGAATGGGATTTCAAAATACTCTTCTGAAAATAAGTTTCCCTTCCCTGAGCTTTATACTGAGAATGGTCACTGCCTCGGGAGAAAAACAAAATTTTTAAAATATATATAATTTGATATATGTGTCTCTGATATATACGTCTATTTAAATAATGAATTTACTTTCTCCATAGTGATTATTCAGTGCTAAAAGAAAAGTTAGTCATAAGCCGTGTGCAGTCTTTCAGTGCTGTGCAAGCATCCAGGAAAGATGAAAACCAAGGTGGAGGTTGCATACCAGGGGCACCTCCAATCATGTTTTTGGTTATACTGCCTCCTGGTGGTCATTGATACAATTTTTTTAATAAAGCAGGCTTATTTTTTCAATGTTATGTGGTTCAAATTAACATTTCATCAGCAGTAAGTGCCTGATCAATACACTTGTCTTCAAAAGGATAAAGATACTTTGCAAATTTCTGAATTGTAGTTAATTCAAAATATTTAGAAGCTCCTGACTTCTGTGCAAGTTTCTGGGGGCAGAAGGATGAGGCAGACAAAACAGTTGCTACACTTAGAGAAGAAAGTAAAAGCGACACGAATGAGTGCTGTGCAAATGTCTGGAGGAGTTCAGTCTTTTTAAAAAGTAGCGAGACTAACAGGAGGAAGAGCAGACTACAGGCAGAGGGAGCCACATGTGGAAGGCTCTGGGATGACACAGATGTAAAAGGCTAAGAAACATAAAGGACACAATATTCTAAAAGGTACAGGTGCCACTTAACAAGGCTGAAGAGACACGTGAAAGCCAGATCTTGTGAATGTTTTCTAAATTTCTCAGTAACTATATTCCCTTATGGACAGTAGCTCTTTCCTCCCTACCAAAGTGCTCTCAGGTCAAGTCCACGCCTGCATGAGAAATCCTTCTGCTCAGTCAGTACGCAAACTCCTGCCCTGCACAAGACCACACACACACTATTCTAACCCCTCTCGCCTTTGGCCCTTGTTCTGTTCACCACCCTTTAAACAAAGTAATCTCTCAGAGCCATTACCCAGATGAAACTGCCCTCACCCACCACGGTGCAGGGTGACTCTGGAGTGGACCAGCAATGGACACCCGACCCACACAGTCCATCCTCTGGCCTCCAGCCTCCCATGCAGGACGTGCCTTGCAGGGCTCTGAAAGTGGTGGCTGTTTACCTAAAACAAGGTGACCAGCCCGTTTAGAATTAGACTGAAGCATATCTCAAATGTTTATAAGAAAGTAACTGCAAATGCAGCATATTGTGAGAGACATGAACACTCACACGCATCCCCACCATAAAGCTGTTTCTCACCAAAGTAGGCCAGGACCTTACGGTTCCTCAGCTACTGCACTGCCTTGTGTCTGTCTTCACCTTTGTGCTATTTAACTTTTATTATATTATTCATGTTACCACAACTGTGATCTTTGAAAGCAGAGATCCAATAAGTACAAGAGTTTAGCTTCCTTGGGGCCAGGGATTTAGCTCAGCAGCATAAACACCTGCACAAGATCATGAGTTCGATCCCTGGTACCAAAAAAAAAAAAAAAGAAAGAGTTTAGCTTCCTTGAAAGCATCGTCACACAATAAGTCCTCAACACACACTGGCTAGATGGATGCGCAGATGGATGGTGCACAGACGATGCATGGACGGCTGTGTGAGGGGATACCCAGATGCATGCTTGGATAGATGCATGGAGGATGTGTGGATGGATGGCTGTGAGCATGGCTACTTGTATGGACAGGAAGGCAGATTCACAGATGAATGGACAGATGAATGGACAGATGGATGGATGGATGCATGCATGGATGCATGGGTAAACACACGGATGCATGAATGGATGAATAGTAAAACAACTGATTCCTGGAAAATGTAACTGGGAACTGAATATAAAATCCTAACTCATGCACACCCACAGTACGCTCCCAAACTTCTCCCACCTCCCCAGACACACAGGTTCTCTTCATTTTCCCTACTGCTATGAAAATCCTTTTCTAAGTTTCACGAAGACCTGCTTTCCTCCTTCTTTATGAATTTAAACCTTCCCCGTGACTCACCCCACCCTGCTCCAGCTTCCGCACTGCTTGGATATGTCTCACTCCCTCGCTCAGACCTGCCCCCGCCCCCACAGGACCGCCTCGCTTGCCACGCTGTCATCTACAGAAAGATGACAAGCACACTTTTAGGATGTGGCCCCCAAAAATGTGAACTACAGATAAAAACAAGGAAAGACTTTTAACCCCTCAGTTTAGGGGAAGAGCAAGGCCCACAGAAAATGCCCGTTATCCATTTGAAGATATTATTAAGCTTATTGCTCCAACAGAGAGACACTGAGGACCTGAAAGCAATGAAGTGAATGGAAAGCTGCCATTTAATCTACACTGAACCAAAGACAGAATGGGAGGTCCAATAAACTTCTGCTTCCTCAAGAAGTTGCTCAGTGACTCTGGGCCATGCTCCTGCCATGGTAAGACAGACACAGAAACAACCACCTCACAGGACCAGACAGCATGTGCAATGTGAGAACATGCGTAATTACCTCACACTGTGCGCAGCCAACAGGAGAGGCTCACCTTCTTAAAATTCACTACAGTTACATGGAATTACAGAGAAAAACAGCCTGGAAAACTGAAGTCCGATGGCCCAGTGTAGTCGTGAGAGATGTGGAGACCACATGTCTTCACTATGAAACGGTAACCCTCTGTCCTCTCTAATTTTGTACTTTCCCAACATTTAGAATTTGGTTATAAATCATACATAAGAAAAATAAGCAAAAACCACACATGCAAATCCTACAAGCACGGCTTTAATAGTTACGCATTACAAACCACTTTTACAACATTGCCTCAATATTCTCCCCCACTGAAGACTGAACACAGGGACACTCTTATCGCTGAGCTGTTTGTTTTTGTGTTTTGTGTTGTGTTGTGCAGTGTTGTGTTTGAGATAGGGTCATGCTAAATTACCCATGTTGAGCTCAAACCTGCGTGCGATCTCCCTGCCTCAGGCTCCCTCAGTGCTGGAATTACAGGCATGCACCACCATGCAAGGCCATATTTTTCAATTTTTAGTTTTAGTAAAAGACATGTAACATAAACTTCACCTTTACCATTTTTAATTATGCTGGTCAGTAGTATTAAGTATATTTATATTGTGTAACTGATCTCCATAACTTTTTCACCCTGCAGAGCTGTAACTGTCCCATTAAACAGCTATCTATTTCTCCCTTCTCCTGCCCCCACCAGCCACCATTTACTTTATGTTTTTATGATTCTGATTTCTGTAAATATCACATATTGGTAGAACCATGCACCACTTGTTCTTTTGTGATTGGCTTATTTAATTCAGAATAATGTTATCATGATCGGTCCATGTTGTAACATGTGTCTGAATATCCTTCTTTGAAGGGTGAAGACTCCTTGGGCTGGAGATTTAGCTCAGTGGCATAAGTACCTGCCTGGGAAGTGTGAGGTCATGAGTTCAATCCCCAGAAGCAAAAAAAAAAAAAAGATTGAACAAAAAGAGTAAAAGATGACATTACTTTTTTATGGAAAAAAATAAAACAAAATTTCAAAACAAAATAATAGAAGAGTAACAATAGTTAATACATTGCATATTGTTACCTCCAAAGTAGTTACCCAGAGTACAAGACAGAGGCATGGAAAATTGCCCAAAGTATCATTTGATCTCATTATTTCTAATAAGGCAAAAGTGAGAAGATAAACCCAAAGAAAAATCAAAAATACTGAATGTCTTCATATTTCAAAAGCTAAACTAAGTCCTTCCCCTCAGTTGCTCCTTTCCTAATGCCTAAGAAAAGAAATCACAATTACTTTTTTAAAATTACACATTTCCATTTGTTTGCTGAGGCGTTTCTTTCCAATAACATGTTTGCCTGAGGACGGTTATGTATTCAAATAAATCATATAAAATCACTGGTATTTGGCAATTTAACTTAAAATGGCAATTTTACATGTCCCACCTAATAATTATCATTTTTCTTTTAAACTAATCTAAAAAGATACGGTTTTGAAACTACATAAGGTTTACTATGCATTGCATCCTTAGAAGAGCACTGAAAGAGACAGGGGCTCAGGGGAGAAGGGACAGGTGACAGGAAGGCTTAGAGTCACTGGTGCCTAGAACATTCACATCAGGAATCATTAGTCTGAGACACAAAATTTGCTACAAATAATAGCTATTCATCACTCTGTTGTAAAATACTCAGTGCATGCAACAAATAAGTAAATATTTAATCTTTTATACCAAATGCCAAACATTGGTATCAGCAAACATTATATCGTAGAAAGAAATAAGAATGCTTAAACTATAATATGCTGTGATGATACAGGATTCATTAGTAAACAGCCAATTAAAAATAAACCACTTAACTTGTCTAATCATTTGTACTAATTTTTTCTGTTCAGTGAATAAGTGACTTTGGAGATACTTCTCCACCTGAATTATTTGAATCACTTTAACATTGCTCTCAAGAATGTACTCACATTTATTTGAACCTGAATGGACCAGTCACCAAGTATAGGATGTGAAGATAACTGAAAAGTTTTGGAAATGACTCCATGATCACTTCGTTGTAACAACCACTGTTGGACCACATTGGACTTGGGGTCCTAAAACAAAAACCACACACATTAAGCACACAAATGCTGCCCATGTGCACTATACCTCACAGGTCAGAAAAGGTTCCCTGTGGCACTGCCCAGCACACCCAGGACTCTCTTCTACATAAAGGACTAACGTAAATTTTGGAAAACATCAAGCCTATAGTACCAAAAAGACAAATCAGAATTTCTTTTTTTTTTTTTCTTATATTGTTCCAGAGGTCACCTTAATTTGGGGCACCTTTTAACTCTGAGCCCTACATTTCCTTTCACAGGAGCACGCACATACATCACCAAACCCACAGCAGCAGTGGTGGTGATGGTGTTAAACAACTCTGCTGTAGAGACATGGGGCCCACTCCTGAAGGGTGGCTCTGTGTCAGGCAGGTTGACTGCCACCAGTCACTGTAACTGTGTTCAGGCAGCATAATCCTCACCTCATAGTCAAAAAACTAATGCCAAGAGAGGTTAGGTTAGCATGGACTATAAGCTTCTAACAAGGCCCAATATTACAGCACCCACACGGGATGGAATTCAGGATTCAACTCCGTGTCTGTCTTTCAACTCAGCAAATGTGTATCAGAGAGGTATTTAACCAACAGGATACATGAAAAACACTTCAGTCCTGGCTTTCCCCAGTAATGATCCCTCATGCAATAGTCATCAACACAGCAACCAAGGTTCCTCTCTCTCATTCCCAGTCTATAGTCTCTGCCTCATTCATTCATTCCCATATTTTCTCTCTCTCTCTCTCTCTCTCTCTCTCTCTCTCTCTCTCTCTCTCTCTCTCTCTCTCTCTCTCTCTCTTTCCCCCTTTCTCCCACCCCTCTGTCTCCCACACACATGTCCAGCAACTACATCTTGGTTCACAACCAATCTCTTCCTCCAGACTTGGCCTCTCCGCTGCCTGCAGTATAGTGGCCTTTACATCAGAGACCTAAGAAGGAAGTAGAGCTACTGAAGTGCTTGACACAGCTCCTGGGTTTTCACAAGGACTCAGTAAGCATTGGTTCTGATCATTATAATAGACCACTAGCTGATTCTGGTTTTTGGTTTTCTACAAAAGGAAGTCTAACTTTTTTGCTTTGTAATCTGACCTCAGCTATGTATCTAGGCTCCTCTTTTAATTTTAGTATATGTGCTGCCGAAGCAAGCACTAGGCTCCACTTCTAAACATACAGATTCACTGACAGTTCACCCTAAAGGTCCACACATCTAGACCTCCGCCACTGCGGCAGAGAATGGCCGCCACACTAGTGAAATAAGCTCAGTTCTTCATCCTCCATCCATGTTTCCAACAGGAGAGATGACTGCTTAGAGTTCCTACACCTGGAGTTTACACCACTTAAGTGTATCTTACCGATACAAGCAGTAAAATCAGCCTACTTTATCTATTTTATCTTACAAAAGCAACTTTTTTTGTTCCTACCTAGACTGTGAACTCCTGAGATTGGGAATTAAATATTTCCCTTTTTTTCCCATTGTTTGACAAGAAATAATGAATTGGCCCTATTATTTGAGGCTGGAAGAAAGCTCTCTCCCACAGTGGAGAGAAAGGACAATGCTGAGAATTAAGTAACAAGGAGGAGTCAGCCAGAAACTAATTGTTGAAACTGGGACCAAAAGCAAATCAAGAACAAGCAGGTCACTGTGTCCTGAGCAAACCTCTAGTGTGCCTGATGCCTCCACCACTCTGGGGACAGCTGTGGAAAAAGAAGGTTCAGGAAACAATAAATAGCTAATGACTACTGCTGCACAGCCATTAGGGGAACGAAAACAAGGTATGCTCTTTTTCCTTTGTCAGACCTACAAGGACTTAAACATAATCGTGATGATAACTCCAAGTGCTGGCCTTTGCACCAGGAACTCCGTCCACCTGCACACAGAATGAATGAAGGCAGGTCACTCAACACAGCACCTCACCTGGCCAGGGCGGCAGCTCTGAGTTTGCCATAGCTGCTCAAAGTTAGTCAGTCAGGGCACAGTAGAAGGACAGACGGGCCTTCGAGCCAATATCTATACCTGGACAAGGTCGTCCCGACTCCAGGTATAAGAGCTTCTCAAAGGAGAAAGGTCAGGGCCAAAGCCAGTCATGCCCTGCCATCCCAGTGCTGGCAGGGCATCTCTCTCCAGGGCCAGGAGGACAGAATTAGGGCTGGAGAGAGGCATCTTGTTCTACTGCTGAAAGCTGCTTGAAGCCCTTTCCTGGGTTTAGTTACAAAATCAGGCAAAGTTAAAATACTTAAAATGACTCACATTTATAAATAAACTAAAATATCCCAATATCTATTCTTGGCCAGGCAAATTTAAGTCTCAAAAAGCTGACAGCCTGGGACTTCCGGGAGAACATGGCGGACAGATAACAGCAACTACCGGAGGCTCTCTGAAAGACTCGGCTCAGAAGCCAGGAATGGTGCGGACTAAGGAGACATAAGCAGGTGGAGATATGCTCTGCTGACTCAGGAATGAACTGGGCTGAGAGAAACCAACTTGGAATGCATTCCTGGTGCTAAAACAGGAACAGAAAAGCCTCGGTGTGGAGGCTGGACCCCGCGCGCCATTGTAAGCCGCGATTTGGGTTTCCCGCCGCGCGGCGGCTGGCTGCCTCTACAGTGGCTCGGCAAGGAGAGAGACGCACAGAAGCTCTGAGAACGGCAATCTGCGAACGGCAGGGAGGCGTGCACTGACTTGTGGTGAGGTGAGTGAGAGAAGCTGACACTCTACCACAGTTTGACTCCAGCAGAGGACTTTCTGGGCCCGAGCAGTCCTGCGGGAGCAGGGCGCGGTGGCGACTCCAGCCACACATCCCCCTCTCGGGCGGGATTGGTGAAAAGTGCCTGGCCTGCGTGACGCTGCCAGCGGACCTGGTAGGCTGTCCCAACCCAGATCCCAGAGCCTGACGGTGGCCGGGAGGGGAGACGCGTAGGCTGCCTGGTCCGTAACTCCCTGGTGCCCAGCGGTGAGCGGGAACACCTAACTGGCGCAATTCGATCAGGCTGTGGCTGACTGGGAGAGAAGCTGGGCCTCTTATATAAGCTTGCATATATAAGGAACAGAGAAGAAGAGGCAGCATGGGAAGAGGCAGCAACAAGAAAGGCTCCTCAGCCCCCAATTCTGAGAAACAGGCAATAGCAGACACCGCACCAATATACATAAGGCACCATATAGAGAGCCTCATAGACCAATTCAGGAATGAAGTTATCAACGACCTGAAGCTAGAAGTATGCAGAATAGTTAGAGAAATGCTAAGTACCACCCAAGAAAAAACAGATGGTGGAATGGAAGAACAGAAAAAAAGGGGAAAATTGTTTGATGGAGAAAACAGAGAAAGCATAGAATACGTGAAGCAGGTTCAAAGGGACTACCAAGATACTAAGAAGTCTATAGAAGACTGGCATAACAGCTTGAAAGAAACTAAGGACAGACTATCTGAACTGGAGGGCAGACTTGTAATATGGGAGAATGAAATGAAAAACTTCTTAAAAATAACAAAGAAACAAACAGCAATAATACAAAGACAAGAAGATGATAAGAGGATCCATAACTTAAGGATTAAGAACATAAAAGAAGAAGTAGGGACACAAACAAGTGAACTACAAAAGCTACTCACAGAAATAATCCAGGAAAATTTTCCTAATTTAGCAAAAGGTAAAGATACTCAGATGTATGAGGCATACAGGACCCCAGCTACCTACAACCCAAACAAAGCAACACCCAGGCATATAATAATAAAAATTCCAGAAATTCAATACAAGAACAGAATATTAAAAGCTGTCAGAGACAAGAAACAGACCACTTACAAGGGAACACCCATCAGAATTACAGCAGATTTCTCGGCACAAACCATCAAATCACGAAGAGCGTGGGGGGAAATAATTCAAGCTTTGAAAGATAATAATCTCCAGCCAAGATTGAGATATCCTGCGCAACTGTCCCTGGAAATTGATGGAAAAACAAGGTGCTTCCAGGATAAAGAGGAACTGGGGGAATTTGCAACCACCAATTCAACTCTACAGAGAGTATTGCAGGATATTCTAAAAAAAAAGAAAAATACAAAGAATCCAGAAATAATGGCAGAGAGGCCACAACGAATGGAGCAGAGAACAAAATGAAGAAGACAAACTGACAGCTACTGACAGAAAAGAGCTCAACAGAAATGAGGCAGAGAAGATTGGATGATAGGAACAGCTATTTTGGAGAAAATGACATCTTAATAGGTAATACTGATTTAGTATCATCTTGTTTTGAAGTCTCATCTAGCTTTTGTCCTTCTGTCTCCAATGGTCTAAATAGGTTGTATCTTACTGGATTTTATTATGTACGATAGTATAAGCAAAAACCTTGTAAAGACAAGGAGATTATACAGAAACCATTATTCATTTTCTGTTAGTCGATTCTAAATACTCTGTAATGCTGTCATTCTCTTGAATGGTTTTACATTGTTTTGATATACTTAATGCTACAGTATACGAAGTTGTACTCAAGGATTTCAAAGAAAGAGACAATATGGTAACTACTTTTAGGTTAGGATTATCTGGTGGTGAAACATTATTCTGCTTAAATGGTTATGTTTTGATCTGCGCTGTTTCGTTGTTATGCCCTCTTTTATCTCAATCTCCACTCCATTATTTACTTTTTTATCTTTATCCTTTTAATTAAAGGAAAAAAATAGCAGGATATATTATAGCAACCCACTTTGACTTTTCATTACCTTGATTTAAAGCCCTGTATTACTCTCACCATCTGGTTTTTAACTGATGTTCCCCTATTCTGTTTTGCTGGATAGTATCAGGTTCGAAAGCTTAGGCATCAGCTGTGAAGATAATGAGATTCATTATGACGCCCATTCTTGTTGACTTTTATCTACTTTTGAAGACCTACAATGTCTCCAATGTTTTGGTTTTGTCGGTTTTATTCTTTACTGTTTTGTTCAATTGTATTATAACTAACGATATAGGCAATTCTATTAGAGATAGCGGGAGGCATTATAGTAATCATTGTTGATCACCTTGTATTATGTTTTTACATTATCTATTATGTCCACCCTTTTGACTTGACCGATTCTGTTCTGTTATGTCACATTTGGTTTTACTCTCTTCCAAAAAAGTAATAAGAACCGTGGGAGCAATGAAACCCAAAATGTGTAATAGTCATGGTACAAAAGAGAGGAAAAGAAAGTGCTCCAAACTATGTAACTGCATGTATATTTAAGTGTATAAGATAGAAAATGATATCACAGAGTTTTATTGGATTAATGAACAGAACTGTTTGCAATATCATTGATGGAATGTCCACTTTACAAGCTTTAATTTTGTGACTTGAACAATTATTTCTAAGATGACAATATGTAATCCATTAACTAGTGATTTCCTACTGTTCATTTTTTTTCTGTAAATCTGTATAACTTGTACCCTTTCCCTGCTTTTTTTTTTTCTTTTCTCCTTAAATAAAATTAAAAAATAAATAAATTAAAAAAAAAAAAAAAAAGCTGACAGCCTGGCTTGAAGTACACTTCTCCAAATTGACCTGCAGGTGGCGCTGTGCTGGGCACACGACTGCTCCAGCAGGAGTCCAGCTCCTGCTACCAAGTTCCACTTTCTTCTCACAAGTATTTCCATGAAACCAACTATCCCACACTAGAAAATGCACAAAACATCACAGCTACTCAACCCTGGCCTAATGGGATGTTTTTATCCGGAGGAGTCAATGGGACTGGCCTTCACATCAGAGGTCCGACTTGGCTCTGCAGGCTCCGAAGGACAGAGGCAAAGCCCTAAGTCCACACCCAAGTGCAGAGAGGAGTTTGCCACCCCTCATTCTCTGTCCCCAAACCTGGCCTGAGCCCAAACTTCCCACTCCTGGCCAGGAGGGACACATGCTGGCCAAGCCAACAGAGAAAGATTTAGCTCTCTGTGCCCTTCCAGGAAAACCCAAAGTGGGCCAGGCCCAAACATGGACAGAAGCATCCAAACAATCTCCAAATCAGTTTCTAGGGCAGACACCAGAGCACAGAGACAGAATATAAAGAACACACAAGTGTGCTTCTTTGCTTTGTCTCCTCATTATCCACTAAAAACTAAAGACCATGTGAGCAGGGACTCAGTCTGCTCTGTTCCCTTCCCAGCATCAGTGCCTGGAAGACAGAAGCTCAGTAAATGTTTGGCAAATGAACCGTCTGCGGAGGCCAGAACTGCAGCTGATGGGTGGTGAGGGAGCCTGCACTCTTCACCCGGGCTCTCCTGCCTCCCTTCCTGGGCAGAAGGTTCCCATGTGGGCAGCAGCCACCCCAGGTGACTGTCTAAGACAGGACAGTGCCAGCGACAGGAGCAGAGCTTCCAGGGAAGCTTTAGAAAGATAGTTTGAACTGACTTTATCTTTACCACTTACCTTAATGAAGACATCTAAAGAGGCCTTATAAGGCCTAAAATCTGAGGAGAACATAATAACCCGAAACTTCACTTCCTGCCCTGGCTTGTAGAGCAGCTTGTCTGTCTGAATGACGACAGACACTCTCTTAATCTCAAATGATAAGGGCGTGCTGTTGTAGAATAAAATCTCATCCTCCGCGTGGCCAGTGACGCGCAGCTCATAGCTCTCATCCTTGCTGTTCAGAGGTAGCTGCAAGGGGTGAAAAAACCAAAAGCTCACTATTTAACCTCAAAAATGTTTCAATTACAAGGTAGAGTAAGTAGAAAATTTAGATATGTGGTATTATCAATTGTAATGCTGAAGATTTTTGCCTTCTGGGCACCAAAGTAATTTGTTTTTCCTCCTCTAACATTCTACAGTTTGTTGTCTAATTACATCGCAAAGATCCTGAAACAGGGTGCATGCCCGGCCGCTCTCCCCACAGCAGTGCGTCCTTGCCCTCTGCCGTTCCTCACGCAGGTCCCAGCCTGCTGCAGCTGGAACCTTCCACCTGGACAGAAGCGCGCATGCACTTTCACTGCACTGTCCCAGGTGCCTCTCTGCATGTATCCCATTCGCTTTTTTTTTTTTTTTAATTTTAAAGAGGGTAAAATTAAACAGAACAAAATGGATCATAAGGAAACAATTTTAAGAAACACAGATTTCAAAGCAAGACCACTGGAGATCTTCACTATCTATCATATTTGTCTCTTGTTTTCTTCCAAATAGTTGTCCACATCTTCACACACAGTGAATACATACTGAACATTATAGTACTAAACTGATCAGAACAGGATGATGAAGGCTTTTTAGGCCTTCAAGACCAGACAATAGGGAGGTCAACGATATCTGCCATAATGTCTCTCATTCTCTTCGAAGTAGCTGTCTTTATGTATGTTAAAATTAAACATAAGAGACTAGACTAATACCACTCTGAACAGTGAATAATAGTATTGCTAGATTTTATATCATAATGCTACAGAATTAGCACTGGGTTTCTTAGTGTCTCTTCTTCACAGTATCTGTTCATTACATTGTGCATTATATAATCTGTTCCCATAGACTGTTTAGAAATTCTACACATGTGTGAATCTCTACATGTATATCTATCTTTTCTGTTTTATAGGGAAAAACAGATCAAAACAAGACAACAAAACAAATTCCTAGAAAAACATGAAATTAAAAAGACATATAAAACCACAATACTGGGTGATCTATAGCAGTTACTATGCTGTCTCTTGTTATTTTCACATTCCTACACCTCGTTCATCATCATGTGTCACGATCTTGGTTTGGATGGAGGTGCTATTTTCACTACAGTTACTAACAACAGAAATCCTGTCCTGTCCTTTAACAGACCAGAAGCTGTACTTAAACATCGCAGTCATTCCATTGGGTGCTAGAGCTAAAAGAACTTCAGAAACAAGGGAGCTGGGGCTCAGGAAAGTTATGCAAATTTGTCCAAGTTCCCAGGCCAGAGTCAAACTCAAAGTGTCTCGTTTTGTTTTGTTTTGCTTCCATTCTGTATATCTAATTTATTTTTTAATTAATTTTTATTGGTACACTTTTGTTATACATAATGATCACATTCCTCATAGGGAACTTATACCTGTATATATCTTGATTCTTTTTTCCCCATTCTCCTCCCCTCTCTTCAATCCCTCTTCCCCTCCTTACTTACAAAAGTTTTGTTTCCATTTTTTCCTTCTATGCTTTTTCTCCTTTTCCGTTCCTTCCTTCCCCTTGCCCCCTCCCCATTTCCCAATATCTATTATACATTTTGGTCCTTATTTACACTTGCAATTTCTCACACCAGAGAAACAATTTGGTATTTAAACAGGTATGTCCAATTTATTTCACTTAAGCGCACAGTCTCGAGGTGCATCTGTTAGGAATATCTCAGGTTTATGCTTCTTATTCAAATGCAACATGTCCACATTGATCTAATAAGAAACTACAGGTGGTGATTTTAAAATATGTTCAAAGCCTCTGCCAGTTGCCCTGGGCCCAAGATGGCCTTCGGGGGCTCTTAGGGATGTGCCATCCATTTTCAAAGACGTTAAGCTACACTTCTTCCTGCAGGGCTGAGTCACTCCTCCTGTCAGGGCCAGACCATGGAAGATTGTTTTCTATTCTGGGAGATTGTTGTAATTTAAGTGATTGTTTTAATAGAATCCTAAACTGTAATAGCTTAAAAAAATAAAATATGTTCAAACCATCTTTGACCTTCCTCACTCTAGAAGGTGAAGCCTAATTCCCCACATATGGTGACTGCTTCTAAAGCCTACAATAAGATTATCATAAAAAGAATAGTTTCTTGGCATATGTGTCCATCAACAGATGAACAGATACAAAAAATACAACATTTATACACTTTGGAGTACTACTCCGTTATAAAGAAAGATAAACGAGTCATTTGTAGGGAAACAGATGCACCTCGAGACCACAATGTTAAGTGAAGTCAGACACATGAGCTTAAACATCACCCAAAGTAGAAGTAAATTAATGAGCAAAGAAATGGGGAAGTAGATCTTTTGCAAGTGGGAAGGAGACCAAGAGATGGAGGGAGGTGAGAGAGAGGGGAGAAGAAGCAGATGACACAAAAATTAAGGTATGTTATATACATGTACCAACTGCCCATGATGCATGTAATCATTACACACTGTAAACATACAGAATAAAAATAAATTTTAAAAAAGAATAGCTTCTGCCAGATGTAGTAGTGGTACATGCCCGTAACTTCAGAACTCTGAGAGGTTAAGGAGGAAGGATCACAAGTTCAAGTCCAACCTGGGCAACTTATTGATTTAGTGAGACCCAGTCTCAAAATAAAGAATTTAAAAGGCCTGGGGATGTAGCTCTGTGTGAAGGCCCTGGGCCCAATCCCCAGTACCCCCGCAAAAAAAGATCTAAAATAACCATAGTAGCCAAATTTCTACAGGGGGGTTTTTGCCATGTGGAATCAGCAGCAGCTCTCCCTCCCTTACCCTCTTTCTCCTCGCAGACTCCCTACACTCCTGGCCTGTGAAATTCTTCCAGGGAAACAAGCACTGGGCTGTAAGTTTGATTCCTGAACTTAAACTCCATCTTCATCCTGCTGGAGGGCAGTTACATTACACAAGGTTATTTTAATTCCAACAGAACATCCATACAGGCACTAAGGCCTGTGAATCCACTGTTTTAGATTCTATTACTGCAATCTGATGCTTTATTGTCCCAAAAATTAAGGGGTTTTTCCCACTTCTGCTTCCTTGTGCCTTTTATTTCCCTCCACTTTGTTTTTTGGATTGGGCTGTTTTGTTTTGGTTTGGTTTGGTTTGGTTTGTTTTGTTTTGTTTTGTTTTGAGACAGGGTCTCACTATGTAGTTCAGGTTGGCCTTGAACTCACTGTGTAGCTAAGGGTGCTTCAAACTCATGGCAATCCTTCTGCCTCAGCCTCCTGAGTTCTAGGATTACAGGCATGCACCACCATGTCCAGGAACTTTCTGTTATTAGCACTAGTATATTTCTTAGCAAGAAAAATACAGCACAATATATTAAAAATTTAATAAGTATGGCACATTAAATAATTTGTATAACGTATTACTTGGGGCACCTTAGCCTCATAGAGTACTACTTAGGGGCCCCCAAAAATGAACGTGACTTCTCCAGGTACTGACCAAGAAAGTTCCAAGAGACAGTCAGTGCACTGGCCCATAAGGTAAGAGTAATTCTGCATAAATTCATACGTGTCAGGCCCAAAGCCATTGGTCATCAAATGTTTTTTAATTTTTGAGAAAGGGTCTTGCTATGTAATCCAGGCTGGCCTCAAATATGTGGCAATCCTCCTGCCTCAACCTCCTAAATGCTGGGATTAGAGGTGTGCACCACCACACCCAGTTTAGTCATCTATTCCCAAACAGCACATGAAACTCACCTGTGGTTGGGCAATGTGTCTTCTCTATCATACATTCCAAAACTAAGCACAGTAATAGTATCACATGTTCCAAAACAAAGCACATTGATAAAAGTACAAACTTCCACATCAAAGCCAGGGGAAGTAGGGTTAGTTCACAAACATTTGTTAACCAGGTTTGATGACTTTTTCAACAAAATAATAACTGCTTTCCATTTCTATACAACATTTCATATCCCTTTCACATCTTGTTTCCCTCCAGGGTGTCCCTAAGAGACAGAGATAGAATTGTCATCCCCTTTTCCAGGGCCAGCCCTGGGAGGAAAGGAGCTTGTCTTAGGGACCACATTTAAGTGGCATCAAACAACTCAATAATCAATAATATATTATTCTAATATAGTATTTTATATCATCAAAATTAATGCAAAAGTTATATTGTGACGTCTCCCCTCTCCAAAATGTCAAAACTTTAAATAAAGGGAACAACAGTATTACTGGCTTTTCCTGATGTCTCAGATCCCAATATGGCTCACCATTTTCAAAGGCAAGGACCACGAAATAGAGAGTTAATTAGAGTGTTAATACAACACTGTAAGGCTCATTAAGGCAAAAGCAGGATCAAACTCAGTGAAGTTTTTTATTTCATAAGAGAAAAATCTCTTTCCGGTGTTTGAAGAACCTACCAAATATCCCTTAAATAATCAAGCCAAACTTATAAGAAATGTAAACTGATTTAAAAGCCAGAAATATATTAGTGTGTTTAATTCACTGATGCAACCTATTTCTAAAACAAAATATTTAAATGGATACTTACTGATGGGAGAGTAAGTGTCTTGAAAGAGCCTAAAAGGAAAACAGGGAAGAAAAGAAAACAGATTTTCACAATTTCAATATGATGCTGCAACATAAATGTTACAAAACTATTCCAATACTTTTTTTTTTTTTGAGACAGGGTCTCACTATGTAATTTAGGCCAGCCTTGGGCTCACTATGTAGCCCAGGCTGGCCTTTAACTCACCGCCATCCTCCAGCCTCTGCCTCTATCTCCTGAGTACAGGGATAACAGGTGTGCACCACCACACCCAGCTTCCTAATACTCTTTTTTTTAGTAGTTTTTTGAGAAAGGGTCTCACCATGTAGCCCAGGCCGGCCTCTATCTCATAGTGATCCTCCTGCCTCAGTCTCCCAAGTGCTGGGATTTCAAGCATGCACCACCACACCTGGCCCTAATACTGTTTTAAATGTAGTTGGAGTCATAAAATTTTATCAAACCAAAACAACTTTAGTACCAAAATACCCTAGTATCCTTGTGCCAAAGAATTAAGAATCAAAAAGAAAAAGGTATCAGTGAGTGAGCTAAAAAAAGTTCCCTTTAGCATTATCATTTTTGTTGTCCTTGCTGGTTCTCTTGTTGCTTTTTTAATGTTAAATACATTTTAGGCACCTCAAAACACATTATGGAGGGCACCTGAGGTTTTGGGGTGTGGAGGCGTTGCATTAGTAGGCTTTCTTGTTACTCAAGAGACAATGCCTGGACACTCTGAGTTTAAAGGAGGAAAGGTTTGTTTGGCTCATGCTTCAGAAGATTCACTCCATAATCAGCTGGCTCCAAGGCAGAAACACCACAGAAGAGTGTGGCATAACAAAGCTGCTTAGTTTTTGTCCAGGAACAAGAGCCAGGGAACAGTACAGAAGAAAAGAGAGACCAGACAAGGCCATGCCTCCTTGACCCACCCAGACACACCCAGAAATGTGATCCACCAACCTCTGCAGGTGAATCCCAAAGCCAATCAAACTGACACTCCAGCCCAGCTGCCACCTGGTACCTCTCTTAACAAACCCATCTCCTTAAACCATACTTAATTTCCAAATAATGAAAATAGCAAGTTCATAATTCTATTGAACCTAGTAAAACTATGCAAAGTACAACTAGAAATGCAACAGTCTCTCCCCAAAGCCTCAACAGTTCCAGCATTTTTCAAAAGACCGGCTCAAAGTGTATTCTGAGGCTAAAGACAAACTCTTAGCTGTGAACCTCTGTAGAAATGAAAAACAAGCTATGTAATAGAGAGATAGGAAAAAACCTGATCCAAAGTAAAAGCCCAGGATCACCAGGAACACAAACATTAAGTCCTAAAGCTCCATATTCAGTACCCAGAGCACATGGTGGTAAAACACATGCTAAGCCCTTGAGTGGCCCCAGCCCTACAGCCTCGCTGGTTGAAATCACACAGATCTATCGGGTGGACTCCACTCATGGCCTACAGCTTTCCTCAGCAGACATTCTACCTTCCTGGCATCTATGGGGTCTCCAATACACTTTGGCTTCATTCTCACAGCCTCACACATTGCCCTGGCAGGGGCACACTGCTTAGCCTCACAGGTCTCCCTCTTAAATCTGGGTGGAAGCTTCCCTCACCCCGTAACTCTTGCATTCTGCATACTGGTAAACTCAGCATCACACAGATGACATTAAAGTCTGCTGTCAGTGGAGTGAGTAGCCAGCCTTAGACCACAGTTGCAGCAGCCTATGAGTGTTTGGATGATGGAGCACTGTGAAATGAATGCAGGAAAATCTAGGAGAGTCTTCTCAAGGAGGAGTCCAGAAGCACTCTTTTTAAATGAAAGGTTTCTACTTTTGAACCTGTGAGCATGCTATGGATGGGGTCTTGCTGCTTCCTAAAATGTGCTCAAATCTTTCTTCTTGTCCTGGTACAAAGTGCTTAGTGCTTTTTAAAAAAAAAAAAAAAAACTGGTGCTCATCTCTTTAGCAACCATACCTTCTCTGGCCCCATGTTTACACATGGCTCCTTCTGGGCAAAAGTTCAGTTCTTCAAATTTTTCTGCTCTGCTTTTTGCCTATCACTATAAACCTGGCTAAAAGTAGTCAGCAATACCCATGCCACAGTCTGAAGGCTCAGCTGCATTGAACTGTTCCCTGACAGACCAGTTAGTCCACTAAACTTAATCTGTGTCCTCCAAAGTCTTGGGACACAGGAAAAATATATAGAACTTTTTGACAAGAGTGTTACACATATGGTTTCCAATTCAACTGCCAATGTTGTCCATGTTCCCAACTAAGACCTGAGCCTGATCTTTACTGCTAGTATTCCCACCAGCATTCTGGTCTTCTGAGCTGTGACCAAAATCATCCATCAGGCTCAGCTTACAGCATTTAGAGCTACTGTAGTCCATATCTCAAAACTTTTTCAAGTCAGTTCCAAAGACCTCTGAACCACACTGTCAGGTACAGATACAGCAATGGCTCCATCTATCTGCTCCTAGTTTTCTGTATTAGCCTTGTTGAGACACAGTACCTGTTACAATTTAAAGAAGAATTCATTTGGCTCATGGTTTTGGGGAATTTAGCCAATGAATAAAATAGACCTTAACCAATCTTAGCTGGCTCCAAGGCAGCAACTTCATTATACCCTGGGATCATAGGCGTGTGCTAACACAAAAGGGTATAATGGAGCAGAGCTGTTGTTCATGGTAGCGAATAAGCATAGCAGGGAAGAGCACTGGAGAGGAAAGGATGGAAGAACAAAAACGGACCACAAGGCCATGCCTCCATAACCCACATAGATACACCTAGAAGTGTGTTTCCCCAACCCCCAAGAGAATCCCAAAGTCACTCAACTTTAACATTCCACTGTAACTACCACACAGGTGGTGTGTGTGTGTGTGTGTGTGTGTGTGTGTGTATGTGTGTGTATGTGATTTACTTTGATTTCCTTTAGAACTAGGGATTAACCCAGAATACTGCACATGCTAAGCATACACACTACCACTAAACTACATCCCCAATAAGGTTTACTTTTGATATTCTCATACCCTTGTGATAAAGCAAAAAAAAAAAAAAAAAAGGACAGCATTAATCATGTCAGGAATGAGCTGGGACTTCTAAGTGACTCATGGGTACCATTTTCATGTATAGTTTCTAAATATAGGAATACTAATTTTACTCATGCCAACTTGTCATATTTGTTCATCTCAAGGGAAAAAGTGGTTCCAACTTGAAAAAAAAATAAACTAATAAGCCACATGTGGTAGCACATGCTTATATTCCTAGCATTCTGAAGGCTGAGGCAGAAAGATGGTAAGCTGGACTCCCACCTGGGCAACTTAGTGACTTAATGAGACCCTGTCACAAAATAAAAAACAAAAAGGAGCTGGAAATGTAGCTTAGTGGTAGAACACCCCCAGGTTTGATCCCAAAATAATAATAATGATAATAATAATAACAATAATAATGATAATTATATCATCAAAATAATAATGATAAATTAGAAGCACTTATCCCAGCTTTCCAGAAGACAATAAATTTTCCATTTCTCCAGTCATTGAAGAACTACTTACTAAGGGTACCACAATAAATAAAATGGTCCCTCCATTCCTGAAAGCCACATGCATCCATCATGTGGGAACAGAAAGGCCCCTAGAACAAATCAAAGGACAGAACAGAAGCTAAGCAAGCAGCCTCTGAAATCAGACTACACTGGCTCTTCATGAATGTGCCATGTCCTTCAATATGTTACCAGTTCTATGAAACTAGAAATCAATGCCAGAAGAACCCACAAAAATTACGCAAACACATACAAATTAAAAAATACACTCTTAAATCATCAATGGGTCACAGAAAATCAAGGAAGAAATTATACGGTTCCTAGATGCAAATAATAATGCCAACACAATATACAAGAACTTAAGGAAAATAATGAAGCAATTCTAAAAGAGAATTTTATAGCAGTGAATGTTCACATCAGAAATAATTAACAGAACAAGCCCAAATAATTAACTTAATGAGGCACCTGAAGGTCAAGAAAAACAAGAATAATTTGAAGCCAAAACTAGTATAACAAAGGAAATTTTAAAATATCAGAGCAAAAATTAATGAAATTGAAACCAAAAAAAAATCACAAAATATGCCGAGGATTTAGCTCAGTGGCATAAGCACCTGCCTTGCAAGCACAAGGTCGTGAGTTTGATCCCTGGTATCAAAATAACAAAGTATCAATGAATTGAAGAGCTGGTTCCTCAAAAGAATGAATAAAATAGACCTTAACCAATCTTAGCAAAAAATAAAGACCCAAATTAATGCAAATCAATGAATTGAAAAAAAGCTAAATCACAACAGACACCACTAAAACCCAGATTATTAGTAACTACTTTGAAAATGTATACTTCAATAAACTGGAGAATCCAGAAAAAATGGATAGATTCCTAATACACCTGAGTTACCAAAACTGAACCAAGAAGATACTAAAATTCTGAATAAACCAGTTAACAGGCAATGAAATTGAGAAGGTAATTTTTTTTTAAATCTACCAACTAAGAAAAACATTATGAATTCACCACTGATTTTTACAAGAACTTCAGGGACGATCTAATGCCAGTACTCCCCAAATAAAATTGAAAGGGAAGGAGTTTTCTCAAAGTCATTACTGGAAGCTATCATTACCCTCATTCTAAAATCAGACAATGAACCAACAAAAAAAAAAAAAAAACTACAGAATAAACTCCTTAATGAACATAGAAACAAAAATCCTCAACAAAGTACTAGCAAACAGAATGCGACAAATCATGAAGATCATAACCAACTAGGCTTTATCTCAAGGAGGCAAGAGTGTTTCAATATACACAAATCAATAATATAATACATCATATAAAGAGAAGCAAGGGCAAAAATGACATGATCATTTCAACACATGCAAAAAAGCCTTTAACAGAATCCAACATCATGCATCATAAAATAAAAAATAAAAAGGAAAGCCCTGAAAAAATAGGTATAGAAGAACATTACCCCAATCTGATAAAAGTAATTTATAACAAACCTTCTATCA